AAATATTTTGGGAGCTGGAGATTGGATGTTGGTTGGAGCAGGGGTACTTGTGACGCCAGCATCAGTTCACCAGCCAGCAAGTACCTTACCTAAACGTCAACAGGAGTTAGCGTCCCCCAAATTGCTGGATTCAAGGCAGCGGAGACGGCCCAGCCTAGTAGGTCATGGAAAGCCATTACTACAACTCTAAAACTAAGATAATCAATTTGACCGTCTCCAGCTCCTATAATCGAAGAATTCATCAGAGTCTTAGAGATCGGAACTCGTCGCATGGTGGAACATGCTTTTTGTCCAACGGTCAACTCCTTAAAGCGGATAGCTACGACCTTGGACAAGGGGATAAGCACGAACAGGGGATATCCATTCGTCTGACGATGGGATTGAGGCCCTTTAATCAAAACATGCAGGGGACATCACCTCGCCACGTTATTGGATGTCTTTACAATGCGAGGTTGCTTCTTCGACTTTCAGATGATTGAAACAATTCCTTCAAGAGGACTGCGCGTTGTCGTCGGCCGAATGAGTAACATGTATCGTCCGATTGATGCTTTTTGGGATCACCATCAAATCTGTCCTTATTATTTGTGAAAGGATGCTTGAGATGATCTGGCGGGCGCTTTGACTGTTATTACAGACACCTATGCTACAAACTGACGAGCGGCAACCTGCTACTGACAGACTATTGTATCTACGCATCCATCAACAACGGAGCTCCCCTGTATCTGGAATAACTTATGTCTGTCCAAGTCTCATTTTTCTCGAACTGAAGCTGCGCGAGGTTTCATTGCTTCCCCTCGTGGTGCATGTCTCAAATAAGACCTAGAGGAAGGAAGTTCCACTATCTGACGTCGATGACAGTCTTTTACGTATCAATAAGATGCTGCGTCTGTATCAAGTGACATGATATGGCTGAGACCCGGGTATCGCTAGTAACAACCCGACAAACAAAGCTCGATAGGCGATTATACTAGTCCCGGTGCGGCAAGACTGGGTTGTTTAACAACTTTCGGAGCCATTATCTTAGCAATGACATTATGACGCTTGGTTTATGAACTACTAGTCATTTGGCGACGTGCGAGTTCATGCCCTCCTTTCTTGTCCCAGTCAACAGGATGCAGAACTGGCTGATATGAAGCGTGCCAAAAGACGTAGTGGATTTACAGCAACGGACTCACGAGAATGCCTCCGGTCCGTGGCGGAACGTTTCTTTGAATGTGTGAGTATCTATAGAATATGACAAGCCCACCACTAGATGTCAGATAACTCCGTCAAACCATTTGTAATGTCAGCATAATATCGGAGTCGCTACTCAATTGCCCCTCTTGATTCCTAGCCGGAGAAAAGTCGTTTGGTGAATGAGCCGATGGAACTCAAATCATGACTGGTATGCAAAAGATGAGCGAAAATGGGTTTATGGACAAAGGCACCCACACTAACTGCCAAAGACCACAAGCACACCGTCGCAATAAGGTTTCCTGGGCTCTCGATTTTGGCGCAGCCATCATGCGACCACGGGTGCCTGCGCCAGTAGCGCCCATCCACGACTCGGGATTAAGGTTTCCTGAAGCTATCCAGACTTGGCCAGACAGCTTCAACAAAGCTTAGTCTCTCATAATCACGACTCATAAGAGGCTGTCACTGGAATGTGGGCTATTGAAACCAAGGAATTGCGAATGCATGTCCACTATCGACCCCATTGGTGACATTGTATCTCATACTACGGCGCATGGTTTTTTATGTTTCCTTGATTGAGGCTCAAGGGCACCCAAAACGGGTATAATCCGAATGCCTTCCCGTTTGACAAGTCAGTTTATTAGGGCGTTGTTCCTGGCTAAATTTGTTCTGAGCGTTATATTTGAGACGATCATGTCCCGATCAGTTCAGTCCCAGCAGTCCTCCCAAGCCTCAACATTATCGTCTCAAGGGTGTTGAACAAGGCCTTGCCAATATCCTTTCCTTGTTCCACCTCACCCACTACATGAGCATACAAGATGGTCAACTACACAAATGGTTTCCTCGGGCTGTTGGCTCTCGCTGCCTGGGTCGACGGATACTGGCGCATGTCGTGCAGTATCATACAGACTGGCCGAGTTGACCCCATCATTGCCCCGGGAACCTTCTCAGCACATGTCCACAAGCTCTCTGGCGCCAGCAATATCAACATTGACTCCACCTTTTACAGCCTTCAGGCTTCAAGGTGTACTTCCTGCGAGGTCCAGGACGATAAATCGGCCTACTGGACACCCCAACTCTTCTACCAGCATGCGAATGGGAGTTTCGAGATGGTTCCAAACGGTGGGACTGTGATATACTACCTCGGGCGTGGAGAGAACAGGTCAAACATCGAGCCATTTCCTCCTGGATTCAAGATGCTATCCGGAGACAACTTTGTTCGATCTTATGATTCGAAGACAAAAACATACAGTAACTCCAGATTCACAGGTCGTCCAGTGGCAGACCGAGTCAGTTTCGCATGCTTGGATAGCTCAGGGCCTTCAAAAGAGCGTAACTATATGTGGAAGACAGATTGTGATAACGGCATGAGAGCCCAGATCCATTTCCAATCATGCTGGAATGGACAGGATTACCAATCTGATCAAAGCCACGTTGCCTACATGTCCCAGATAGATAATGGCATCTGCCCCCCGAGCCATCCACGCCAGCTCCCTCATCTGTTCTTCGAGGTCATCTACGGGGTCAACAACATCGATAAAAGCAAAGGTGGCCGATTTGTGTTTGCGAATGGAGACACTACTGGCTACGCGTTTCACGGCGACTTCCTGAATGGCTGGAATCCGACTGTTCTTGCGACTGCCATTAAAAAATGTATCAACAACGACGGCATCGGAGGAGCAATCTCGAAATGTCCTATACTTGCCGCTTCACAAACACCATACTTTAGCGACAATTGTCCAGAGATGGCGCCCCTGATTGACGAACCCATTCGAGGCATGATTGATGTCCTTCCTGGGTGCAACAAACCTTTCAGTGGACCTGGCCGAGCGTCAAAGGTAGTATGCGACGCAAAGCCATCCATTAACAACCTTGGAGATGCTGGCATCGGGTCTATGTTTGATCCTGCTATAGGGGACAAGGTTGGCTCCTGGTCTTTCGTTGGTTGCGCTCTTGAAGGCAGCCGCAGAACCTTGAACAAGTTTGCTGTGACCTCAAATAGTATATCTATTGAGTATTGCACAACGACCTGTAAAGAAAAGGGCTATCCACTCGCTGGAATGGAGAATGGCCGAGAGTGTTACTGTGCGGGAGCGCTCACATCGGGTGCATCATACACTAAGGCCTCAATATGCACATCAACGCGCAAAATGACTTGTGCAGGCAACATGACACAATATTGTGGAGGACCAGACTTTCTCACAATATGGAACGACACCTCATATACACCACCAGCAGAGCTCATTGTTGGCCAGACCCAAATCTCAAAAGGCATGGCTACATATTATGGATGCTACGCTGAAGGCAACACTGGGAGGGCACTATCATCCGACAGCACGGCGGACGGGACTGGTATGACAAATGAGAAGTGCGTTGCATTCTGTCAGGCAGGCGGCTATAAATATGCCGGCACAGAATACTCCCAGGAATGCTACTGTGGCAACGATATAACAAATGGCGGCTCCAACCTAACCGATATATCTCAGTGTTCGATGCAGTGCAAAGGCAACATATTCAGCTACTGCGGTGCAGGCAATAGATTGAGTGTATGGAAAATCAAGCAACCCGATCAGCCCACAGGACCAATCACGGCACTCGATGGAGCCGCTCTATGGACAGGATGTTACACAGATGGAGGGTCAGGGGGGCGGACACTTCCGAGTGCCTCCTTCACAGGCTCTGCTGTCTCTCTTGATACGTGCTTTTCATTTTGCAGCAAACTCAACTACCCCCTCTTTGGAATGGAATACGGACGGGAATGTTACTGCGGTTACTCGCCCAAGACGCAGGCCACTATTGCACCAGATGGCGACTGCAGAATGCCATGTGCGGGAGATTCCTCCCAGAAATGTGGTGCTGGTAATCGCATATCCATTTGGAACAATACACTCTATACTCCCACTGCCAGTCTCGAAGCTCTCGACAGCCCACCAAAGTACCTCGGGTGCTATACTGAAGGGAAAGGCGCTCGCGCCTTAGGAGATGCCAAGACAACAAACAAGAAGATGTCTCTCAATGTTTGCTCCAAATTTTGTTCCAGCAAAGGATATCCTTACCTGGGACTCGAGAACGGAGAGGACTGTTACTGCAGCAAAAAGGGACCCTCCAATGGTAGCATTGAAGCTCCAGCATCGCAGTGTAGCGTTGCCTGCAAGGGCAATAAGTCCCAGAAGTGCGGTGCTAGTAAGAGATTGAACGTCTACCGGCTCGCCAGAGTCTCAAAGACCAACTCCGCTGCCAAAACGACGAAAAGATCTGCTGTGAGAAGACCAAGGCAGGGACGTAGATGAGCCCCTTGGGGGAGGACTTGAAAACTTTGTTTAGTGTACCTTTTGCTGGGTCTTCTTCGTACGTAGCCACGTTGCATGATTAATATAAGCCTTTATTGAAGCTATTCTGAACTTCCGGATGAATCAGGATGGTCGCCCTGCGAGTTTGCGTAATATTGCTGGCGTAATTTTTCGACGGCTTATTGGATGTAAGGAACTGTCTGTGCTGCCTTTCACGGTGAACGAATTTTTTTTTTTTGTATTTGATGCGATGTCTTCACCTTGCTCGTTGACGTATCGAATAAGGTTGACCAACCAACCGAAGGATCGCAGATAAGATTTTGACAATGAACTCCAACAACGAATCACGCACTCAGTTAACATTTTAGACATTATGTTAAAATATCCCAATAGTTGCCACAGCATGAATTAAACCTAGATTGTGACTATTTTGCCCCCTTTGCGAAGTATAAGAATGGCCAATGTCGGCGGCAAGATCGTCCCATCCCACCCAACACAACAGAAGTTAAACATCCCACAAGCCGAAAAGAGAACAAGATGGGAGCAGAAGAAATGGAAGAACCCTCTCGTTGGGATCAGTCCAGCATCTACGAAGCCAGCATATCTGAAGCCAGTATATCCGATGCCAGCATATCTGAAGCTAGCATATCTGATGCCAGCATATCTCCTGCAAATTCTCTAGACAATCTGCATATCGGTTCGGCGAAACTGCAGGCCAACAAAGCCAGTCTAAAGAATGGAATCAGTCGCTCATTCTCAGCCATCAAGGCGTCGATGATTCCGTCAAAAGCCTCTGTTTCGTCAAGCAAGGGTAAAGATGCTGAGTTGAAAACTACAACAACAATCAAGTCCCAAAAGTCATCCAAGTCTAAGTCTGCCATATTCCCCACGGCTGTGCCTACAACGACAAAATGGAAAAAAGGGGGAAAGTCAGCAACAGAATCAAAGCCATCTCTATATGCAACAACGAAATGGAAGTTCAATCAAAAGGCAACGCCCAAACGGACATCAGACATCACTCCAAAGACCACTCCAAAACCAGCTCTGCCCAAATTAACCAAATTGTCATCAACATGGAAGTCCGGCCCGAAAACACCAAAGATGACACCTGATATCACTGAAGAGGCCACTCCAAAATCAACTATGACCAAATCAACAAAATGGCCGACGATTTGGAAGCCGAGTGTGAAGGCAACACCAAGGTTGACGCCGAAACTCACACCCAAGACCGCTCCAGAGTCAACTACATCTACATTGACAAAGCTTTCAACATGGAAGCCCAATCTAAAGACAACACCAAAGTTGACGCCAAAACTCACTCCAAATACCACTCCAAAGACAGGCCCAAAGACCACACCTAAGCATATCCAGTCTAAGAAGAGTATGCTTTCGACAACAAAATGGAACTTAAGGCTCGAGTCAAGTTCGTCAAGCTCAAAGCTATCTATGCCTTCTACAACAAACTTTGGCTCAAGCCTCAAGACAAGCTCAAAGCCATCTATGCCTGTGACAACAAAATGGCCAACATCAGGGACCTTGCCTGCAACAACGAAATGGAAATCGGAACCTTGTTCAACCACCGTGAAAGGACCTGTGACAACACCAAAGGGGACCCTCGTCGGCTATAGGAGGAGGAGGCATCGAGTAGAGGAGACGGAAGAGATTTTCTACTATAAAGCTCCATAGAAGCCAAGGGACCACAGGCTATGGTCTTACCCCGTCAAAAGCTGGATAAATATGCCCAGTGAAAGAGATGAGAGTCGAGGTCGCTGATTGATCAAGCGAAAGCCGGATTGGGCCATGCCGTTCAAGTCAAAGACCAGACGGACAGAAAAATCAACCACTACAACAAGTAGAAAAGAAATAAAAGGAAAGAATATCAACATGTGATTAATTTCTGTAGAATGGCTTACTATTCGTGAGCAAAAATATTGACTGGACATTGATTAATACCACCTTCATTGAAGACAGGTTGGACCGTCGTCCAAAGTGGTGTCTAAAGTCAGTACAGTTTAGAGAATTAATTTTAAAGCCATTGTTACACTCTTTTGCAGCTGGATTCAGATGAGCCAGCGAGTGGCTGTAACTTGAAGGGCGTTTGGTGGCGAGCGAGATTCGATCATGATGTGATTACTTGGTTCGAAAAAACTAAACGATCTTCTCGTATTGTCGAAGGGTTGGGTGAGTCTTCCGTCCTACTTTCCTAATACATACAAGGCACATCCCAATCATTCACAACGGGGCCTTTATGGACAATGCCGAGCGATGACGAAGCTCCACACTCAATCAATGTCTGTCAGATCAGCCCCTGTTCCTCCAACCCGTGTTTCAAGGCCGCCATCTTGCCCAAGACGAGGATGTAGCTATCGAGCTGATCGCGCATGGTTGCAAGTCTTTGATGTTGTTGCAAGTTGAGTCCGTCGAATTTTCCGGTAATGGTGCTGAGCGATGCTAGGGCTTGAGTGTCATCGCCACTGTAGCCAGAAATATGACTGAGGAATTGGGCATAGTTGGACCGGATTTCTTGACCAAATTTGCTGTCGGCTTCGGTGATGGATGCGAGAGTGTTTCTGAGCTCATTTTGCAGTCGGCGGACTGAGCGAACATGCTGCTGGACCTGATAGAAGTACGACTTCGTGGCGGTTACACTGCCAAGGTGAATCGTCAACACCTCAAACTCGTCAACGGTTTCATCGAATGATTCGACGACTTGTCTGATAGCCAGTGCCTGGTCGAGCTGAAGTTGCTGGATCCGGCTGTTGGATTCGGTGATCTTGAACACGGCAAGCGCGGCTTCGTGGAGAGAAGAAGAGATACGCAGGGTGTTGGTGCAACCCATATTTCTCGTGTATAGCTGGACGTCTTGAATTCCTTGTCGGCTTAGCAGGTTATTCTGTTTGCAATGAGGAGAAGCTCACTTTTGAGGAGAGTGAAGGAAAGTTAAGCGATTTAATTGTGACTAGAGAAATGAGATTGAAGTGTGAGCAAGTTACGTCACAAGGCCAGACCTTGTGTAACCGGCACAACACTGCCTGCAGCCGCCACGAGACTCCCAGACCGACCGGGCCTAACCACTTTTTAACGTGATTTACTGGATGGACAAGAACTTATGTTGTTTACGTCCTCCCTTCCACTCCATGAGATTTGGGCTCGGGGTTATATATCCGTAAAAGACTGGTCATGACAATGGCGAGGATGATCTGAAGAACCTAAGCCATGAACGCCCTGACTGCAATACGTATGAAACAATCTTGCTGTTGAAATCCCTTACTGGATAGCCGTTCCGAGTTCGACTTCTTGTCGTCGCGATTCAGAGAAGTGGTCGCTTTCACGGCACCATGGGAGCTAGCAGGACTGCCGGAATAGCAGAGACTTTGATGGCTAGACCGACTATCTCAGCCTCATCCATTGCGAAACATATCCGAGTTAAGGCATCGCGCGTTTTATTAACAGGAAGCCCATAGCAACGGTCCGCCTGATATGAACAGCCCCATTCTTCTAGCCGTACATCCCCAGGTCTGCCTCACTTGATAGCAAAAGCCCTCAGTCGTAATTCTATCAAGAGAACACCAGAATACCCTGACACATGCATATCTTCATCAGTAGGTCAGACAACTTGATGGCAGCTTTCATATTGTCCCGTATGCATAGTTTCTTCAGTTCCTTGTTCCCGATAACCATTGGGATCTGTTTCGTGCTTTCTTTTACAACAATGCCAGTGCACACAACCAATGACCAATACTGCTGAGCCCAATAAAGGAGCGTTTGCAACCAAGCTTCCACAGTGGACTTCGAAAAGAGGTACATCACTGTCATAATCACCTTTGCCACGAGTACTCAACCGCTTGGTGGTTGGGGAAGATGAAGGCCAACTCTAAAATATTGGTGACTGTGTTGAATAAGCTCTCTAACGGGTTGTCTTCTATCCTGGCATTCATATTAATGCTTCCATATGGATGTCCCTATAGAATACTCTGACACATATGTAAACAGAGCATCAGGTCGCCTTGGCCTTTGAGAGCATTACATATTGCATCTGTTGAAGCACACTTTTAATTGAGTCAACCCCTTCAAAAGTGTAATATTCTTCTTATACTTTAGTCACCGAATATGATAACTAACAGAGACAATAACTTGTGATGGCTCAACCGTATCGACTTCCAGGAGCATGAGATGCTGCATCCATTAATCTCATGAAAAGCAGAATACCAAATAATGAAGCTGTTTCGCGGGCGCGTAATGGCCACGGCTGGAGCACACGCTTCAGAGAAAGCACAATCAAATTGACACTCAGCTTCCTGAAGAAGGTCGACCACAGTGATTATTTCTCGTCGAAAGTGCTTGCTTGTTCATAGTACGGCAGATGAGCCTCGTTGCCAAGATCTCCGAGCAACTATGTCGAATATGACATCTCAGATAAGTGACAGGGATCCGACCATTGGAAAAGTTCAAGATTGGTTCACTGTTATCGGATATTCCGCTTGGAATCACCGTAAAATGAATTGACTAGCCTATCACCATGCAATTCCCGGGTCGGGTGTCTAGTCACGATCGTCCCACCAACGCGGGAGTTTCGCATATCGACACAAAGGTCGCTGAAATGCCTCTGGAAGTCTGTTATCTGCAGCTTCCTACGATCATTAGTGCCAACCTAAAGTCGAATGCATATAATCACTCTAGGAGTGCAAATCATGACTGTTGAGGGATAAAATCCCAAGTAAGCGTGTTCGGCTTCCTCCTTTCGCTCAACGAATAGGCTACTCCTTCGTGATATATATAACCATTTTCCCAGGTGACTTCTGATGCACTCAGTTTCGACTCGTTCCAACCTCTTTATTAGGGGACTGATCAGACGCAAGCTCTTATGAGTTTGAGGAAACACTTACAGTAACTCCGAAATACTCAGGAATGGAGATGTAAATTACCTTCTCTGCATGGGTTGATTTGTCAATATATGTTTCAGACCTATCAAATTCTTACCCTGTTGTTTATATCCAAGCCAGCGAACTCTCAAGGATCAATGGCGGAAAAACACGTTGTTGTTAGGCCGTGAATGAGTCTCTCATAGTACACTCGTCAACTTCTTATCCGTATAACAAGGCGCTGAGTACATTGCCGATTCGAAACCTTTGACCAGAGCGTGTTGCCAAGAGAGCTCAAGTAGTGCACTTGAGCAGGAAAGTTCGAGTTGACTCTTAGTCTCCCTCGGACTCTATGTCCGTGGCATCTGGTCCAGCAGCGCTTCTGTAACACTCCATACCTTCCCACTAGGTCCTCCCTTGCGTCTCTGTGAATAATAAGAATGAACATATAGTGACGTCGGCGGCTGGAGACCTGGACTTGCTAGGATTTCCAGCCTGGGCGCTCTCGTCGCCAAGTCTTCGCGGTTCCTTCGGGCGATTACGTAAATGAGCAGACTCAACATCAGCGACATAGGTTCATGCTCACGGACGAATCCAATAATTCACTGCCATCCTCGCAATCTTATCGCAAAGTTGCGTTGAGAGAAATGAAATAATAATGAAGACGCACAATTGTGGTATAAACAAGGGTTCGAGAGCAACAGACATGAAAAGGAACTCCAAGTCTGTAGACTATGGATATGGAGTATTGTACAAAGAAGAAGCAGGTTCTAAAGAAAGTGTATGCTTGGGGCCTTTCAATGTTCTCGTGCGATTAGGTTCTCGATTCTGTTATTACCATTGGTTGGATAATATCAATAACCTCTTGCCAGTCCATCATGAACTGTTGTGGCAGATAGAGTCGGGGTATTAAGCAACCTCTCCAAGGAGATTGAGACGAGGAACGAGCCTGACTGTGGACCTAGACATGATTTAAACAGTAAGTATGGTCTGGTGTACTCGCCGCAATGCCCAGAAACTCTGCTTCAACTGACTACAAAAGACGTCATCATTTGTTGCCAAGCTGGCAATTCGGCTCGCTCAGTGTTGGGGTACTTTGGGGGTTTGGGGGATCTCCGGAGATGAGCCAATAACAAAGAGAAACTCAAAATCATGGTGATGATGTTCATTGGTCAATTTGCGGGGAAAGTGATATTAAATCCTACCCCGCAATTTAACTAAATTGTATCGTGGGGTAAAGCGTGGTTTGGATACGATACTAATCGGTGCCTGTGGATCTCATCTGAACTTTAGCCAGAACATCCGACATAGTTGTTCCACCAATAACATATCTACTATGAAAGCTATCGAAAGATTTAGTATAATATAAAGACTTGAGTTTGGCGTTGAGAATAGGTTTCGCTACCAACAGGAACATTTCATATTCTGTAACCAACATGTTGTTCAATAAAGTTCTTTCGGCGGCCGCCCTGTCTGCGCTTGTGTCGTCAGTTGTTGGCACCTCATCTCACAACTTAGGGCTACCCAAGAGGCCCCATGTTGAAGCTGCACCGTATGGTACGGGCAAAGCATTTCCTGCCTCCGCCGCGCGATCTCGAAAAGACTTCTGTTATGTCAAGCCTGGCAAGGGAAAGAATGTCGATGACGCTCCTCGCATTTTAAAAGCATTCAAGAAGTGCAACAAAGGAGGCACAATTGTTCTTGACCAGAAGTACAGCATTGCCTCGCCACTTGACTTGACTTGGCTCGCTCATGTCGATGTCATTATCACTGGAGAGATCAACTTCAAATCTGACCCATACTACTGGGCAGACCACAGCTTCAAATATGACTTTCAGAACATGTCCTCGTTCTGGAAGATTGGAGGCAAAGACATCCATATTTATGGCGATCTGACAAAGGGGGAGTCTTTGCTTGATGGTCATGGGCAAGCTTACTGGGAAGAGATGGCTGTGAACAAGACTGTAAGTCGTCATATATCCCAGCGTTACTCGGTTTCAAATGGATACTAATTATTATAAAGCTACTGAGACCAATTCTGTTGACGATCGAAGACGCCCATGGTCTCACTATGTCAAACCTGCGAATGCGGAACCCACCCAACGTAAGTCTCAGTTGTATCAAGCATAATCCCACACTCACATAAATCAGTGGTTCAATATTATCATCAACAGCACAGATGTGTTGATCAGTGATTTGGATCTTGAAGCCAAGAGCTTGAATGGGGTCAAAATCGCCAACTCTGATGGTTGGGATACATACCGTTCCGACCGCATTGTTATCCAAAACTCCGTTATTGATAATACTGACGGTAAGTACCCATCTAATCAGATCATATTCATCTTCTCACAACAGCAGATTGTGTATCCTTCAAGCCAAATAGTACAAACGTGGTTGTTCAGAACCTTGTGTGCAATGGTTCTCACGGCATTAGTGTTGGTTCCCTTGGCCAGTACAAGGGTGAGACCGACATTGTGGAGAATCTTTATATCTACAACGTGTCCATGTCCAATGCCAGCGACGGTGCTCGAATCAAGGTCTGGCCTGGCGTTGAGACTGCTTTCCAGAGCCTGTTAAACGGCGGCGGCGGTCTTGGTCGTGTCAGAAACGTGACATACGATACGTTCTACAACGATAATAACGATAACGCTATTACCATTACACAGTGTTATGGCCAGAAGAATCAGACTTTGTGCAACGAGTTCCCGGTAAGGTTTACTGACATATGTGAACTATCTGGCACTGACAATCAATATTAGGCAAACTTGACTATCGAGGACATCACGATGAAGAACTTCTGGGGGACAGTTTCGAAGAAATTTGACCCCCGAGCTGGATCTCTTGTTTGCAGTGCACCCGATGTAAGGACCCAATGCCACATGCACAGTTGACTTAACTGACACCATTACAGCGTTGTAGTAATATCGTGGCTGAGGATATTAAAGTCGAGGTTCCAAGCAAGAAGCCAGCGGTCTATGATTGTCAGAACATTGACACAAGCACTTTGGATATTACATGCCGAGACCCAGCCAATGCCAGGGATACAACCAATGGGTAGGCCCATCACTCCGGCCGTACTTATAGCAAATTTAATATTTGTTTATGCCGCCCATGAGAAGGCTTTTGCTCTTTTAATAATGTATTTCATAACTACATACCAGTTTCGTAACATATTGAGCAGCATGCTCTATATTATAAATTGACATCATACCTCGCTTAGATAAAGTAGGATTGCTATGCTAATGCTTAGTAAGGATAGATCGAATTCTTGCGTTGCTTATCTTATTGAAGCGTGGTATGCAGCAGAGGTCGATGAAAGACCTTTCAGGTGGGTTGTAGGAAGAAGGTTGGGGCCAGCTGATGAGCAGGTAAGGCTTTTCAGCTGGCATATGTGCAGCTAGGTTCAGGCTGTAATTGAGGCAGCTAACTATGATGATTTGACTTAATGAAGCTTTGCTGGCTGTAGGGGCAAATAAATATTTAAACTATATTAGACTCTGGAGATACTTAGATATATTTATATTAATGTCTTAACTTATTTCATTAACTTTCTTTAAGTAGGATTTAAATTTAAATTTATACTTAATTAAGAAGATTTAAATTATATTTATAACATTAATAGTTAAGATTGCCTACTATCTTTTTCTATAAATCCCTAGAGTTAGAAATGAATTAATAATTCAAAAGCCAATATGTCCTTCTTAATGAATTATATATGAGCTACCTTAGGCATAGAATATTATTTAGATATTTCTTCCATTTCTTGCTGCACTGCAGGCAGTAGAAAGAGCTCTAGATAGATAGACTGGTCTATATATTTCAATTAAAACACGCCTTCCTTCAGCAGGTGTTGCAGGATATAAACAAGGTTCTCTTCTAAGAAATAATAAACAGTTAGATGGTGCTGCCGAACGACTTTCTTTATCGCTTTCGATTTGCGAAGGCCACCGTAAAGAGCAGTAGACGGTTTTACACTCAGCCCCAGAGTGCTGCATATGGTAACAGACGGGACTGCAACAGCGGCGTCGCATAATGCTCCGCGGATCGGTATATCAAAACAAGCTTACTTGACGAGCCAATAATCGGTAGGTGCACTATTAGCTTGAACTTAAAAGATACGACGTTAATTGGACAGACGCTCAAATTGTGTCGACCCGCAGAGCCTGATATCTTACGACAGTAATTTCCTGGATCTGAATAAGAACTCTCAACTTTGCATATTCGTCCATTAATAATATTATGTATTTATATGCAGATACCCTATTAACAACTAAGTTCGTAAAGATCTGCTTACGTCCTTTCTTCCGTAAGCCGTCTGGTCCTTACGGTAACTTTGTTTACTGAGAACCTACCTACCCCTCACCTTCCTACAACATAACTTGACTCATCATTCTTGCTTGACCACCATGGTGTGGATCGTGATGTTGCCACCCTGATTATTGATATCTTCAGCGGTGCTGGGAGGGATTAGTTTAGTAGGAAACCAGACAAACGATGCTCTCTTCTACTTGACATAGCTATGGAAGATCAAGCACGGGCATCTTATAGCATACTTCTCTAAATGCCTACCGAAATCCTAGCTGATATTATCGACTTACTAAGTGATAAGAAGTTAACTTTATCATCCCTTGCACTTAGCAATAGCGACTACCAACAACTTGCCTACTGCAACCAGTTTTCTAAGGCGCATTTTAATTATAATCCCCAAGCATAATAATTCTTTATAAAGCTTCTATGTGGATATTTGACCAAGCCATAATAACCTACCATTGCTACTTGCATTCACAGGGTTGTCTTTGCGTCTTATCTATAATATGTTGCATAATATCTTAGAGACTTATATAAGTCTATCTTGGGTAAAGCTGCATAATAGTTTACCTACGATTAACGGGAAACATTTAGAAAATTTCCTATTAAGTGAAACCCTATCCTGCAAGATGAGAGTCTTAAGATTGGGCATTACTGAAATACCTAGCACTAAAGCCTGTCGCAGTTGCATATAAAATTCCCTGCTTTCTTTCCTAAAAGAATCACTCGCTCTACAGCCAAGGATATTAAGCTAAATAAGATAACGCTTGATGAATATTAGTCAATAAAACGGCCGCTAACACATTTAAGCTGGCTAATTAGGTCTTTTAATCTTATTATTTTATTTGCCTTTTAGCCTCTAAAGAATAGCGATGAGAGAGGAAATAGTATAAGGTTGATAAATCTGACGGTAAACTTCTTTTCGGCGCTTTTCCAGCTTTATTCATCGACGCTTGAGTCCTTAAGCTTGGACTTACATAGATTTTCAGCCGGGTGGCAGAGGTTCTGTTTCACTCAACCCTACAGAAAACATCAATATGGCTTCAACGTGGCTAGATCTCTCGTCTTTATATGGAAGTACATCTAAGGTAGCCCTTCAATTTCGCTCCAGAGTAGATGGCACACTCCTGACACAAGAAATTCAAACTCCGGGCACCAAGGCGAGAGCGTCCCATCTCCCTTTCAACATCATGAAGGCGCGAACTAATACACGTACTCGTGTGAGAGCTAAAAATATCTTCGCTGGGGATGATCCACGAGGACTGGCTGCTCCTTGGTGTTCACACTCTCTCATCTCGGCCCCCTATCGACAAAGACTATACCTATAGCAATAATGCGCGAATTCTACTGTATATAGACTGAATAAATTGAGTAGTGCCTATGGGTCCACGCTAGGCATTTTCAATTAGCTGATTGGCCTATTGACGCATAAAGATGTGACACTTTGCTAGATAGCACCATTGGTCAAATCAGTGCATTAGCCTAGACCCATAGGCACTACCCAGTTTATACGGTAGTCAAGATGATGCACAGCATGGGCTATAGGTCAAAGAAATGGCGGCTAAATGACTCAAGGTGGAGATCTCGGCGCCGCCATTGCTCCAATGATTGCGATTCCTGATCCAGAAAATTACAGACTATGCCATATTAATATGCTAATGATGCCACCACCCTAGGGGTGTGAACGTTGAAGCGGATATAAAAAGTCAATTTGTTAGATTTATTTGCACTTTGGCTCTAGCTACGAAGTAGCATGTCTCTAGATTCTTTGTTGATCGTCTAGGCCGCGCTTGATCTATTCCGAATCATACGATTTCTCGCGTTTGCAGCTTCAACACTAGCTTTCCTGGGGTTCTTAGCTTCAAAGGTTATATCAAGTTCTTCCAACGTTGATCCCTTGGTCTCAACAAACAGGAAATAAATAAAGCCCAGTTCAAAGGCGTCCCAGAACACAAAGAATACATAGAACCAGTAGCCAATCTGAACAAAAGGTTAGCCACAATCAGAATACCCTGAAAACGCCAGAGAACAACTTACATTGGATAGAGCTATTGGACCAACAAAGGTGTTGAGAAATCCGGCTGCTCCTGCCGTCAACTTGAAAGTTCCCATGCTCTTAGCTCGCATCTTATTGCTCACAACCTCAGCAGGATATATTGGTTGCATTGGAGTGAAACCACAGGCAAAGATGGCGCCAAACATGAAGATGAAGACAATACTGACGGTAGAGGCCGTCTTGTTGCCATGATCTGTGTATCCGGCCGCACAACCAGCAACAATAGCGAGACATGCAGCCATACCAGCAGTGGTCGTCATGAGCATCTTTCGGCGGCCGACAATATCGTGCAGACGGGAACCGATGATGGACGAAATCCAGCCGACGAAGGCATAGACGATGTTGAGGATCAATTTGGTGTCAGTGTTTGTGATGCCGATGCCGTTGAGCATGATTGGCAAGTAGTAGGATACAATGCTAAGGACGATGTCAGTTTACTTCTGCCAGATGTGACGCGGCTTTGCGACTTACTTGTTACCGCTGAACTGACCGAACCAAGAGAAAGCGATGTTGAGCATCAGTCTGTACCGGCTGGAGCGGGATTCCACAAGGACCTGTAGGTCGAACAGATCTTTCCACGAGGCTATCTGTTCGGTATTGATATTGGCAATCATCTCCCTCATCTGAAGGTCAACGAGTGGATGGCTCGCATCACCATTCGCATGGTACTTGGAAAGGACGTCCTTGGCCTCTGCGTGACGATCCTTGGCGACCAGCCTGTTACTGAGTAAGATTCTGACCAAGCTGATTGCATAGAGAGGGAACCAATGCATCCACGGGGCGATAACTTACCATCGAGGGGACTCAGGAAAAAGCTTGACGAATATGCAGACAATGCCTGGGCATACCATCTGAAGCCACAAGGGAATCTTCCAGTCCAGATTACCGTGGTGAGCTAGGTATTTGTGGCAGGCATATACTGCGGAAGTAGCAAAGACAGAGCCCTGGCGAAAGACTCGTGGTCAGTAAAGCGAGCTTCTCAGTCAGCTTTGCTTGAAGGTACGTACGACGTTGTAGAAAGTGTTGTACATTCCCGCTATCGTTCCTCGGTAGGCCGGCGGAGCAATCTCGACAAGATATAGGGGAGCGGCGGTATGGGCGCATGTAGCGAAAAAGGACAGGAGAAACCGTCCGGCGATAAAGGTAGACAGATTGGGCGCCAAGGAGGTCACTATAGTAGCAATGCACACGCCAAGACAGCCAAAGAACATGTGCCACGTTCGCCCATACCAGTCCGTCATCCAGATGAAGAGAGCTCCTGACATTTGACCAACCTATCAAAGTAGTTAGCATATTGTTTAGGTCGTCCATCAGCTCCGTGTTTATTCTTGCTTGAAAGATCGCAAACACTATGCCGGTACTGGCATTGCCGTTCTCGGGGAGACCAAAGTATGAGGTGTAGTTCGGAAGGGCGTTGATAGAGCCCATGAGAGAGCTATCGAAACCTCAGGAAAGGGTCAGCGTCATGATGGCTCGTGGTGGATGTTCACTGCTCAGTAATACTGGGACTTACCGTTCATGGTCGAGCACAGGAAGATAAGTGCAGCGAGGCTATACAACTTGATGTAACCTGGGCCTCGAGGGTCTGGCTTGTGTTCCGCCATGATATTGGCATATGTCTCGATTAGATTCCCCATGTCCGTCTTCTCAACTTGTTGCAAGTTGGCATCGTCCTTTGCTTTGTCCATGATGCAATTATTGCTTCTAGCAGGTAGACTGAATAGGATGCGTCTTGAAGATTGCTTGAAGATATTTCCAATTGACAAAAAGCTTCGGTACTTAACAGCCTGGGCTGATCTCCCTAAGCATAACTTTGGGAACAAGTCACTCTTGGATACTTATAGGTTTAAGTTGATAAAGACACAACCTGTTTCGTTAAAGTTGTGGGTCAATCCCCGTGGGGAGTCATGAGGTCTGGGGGTTCTCCAGAGGCTAGTCCGAAAGGGACACACGGAATTTCAAATCTTCGGGCTCAGAACTGATGAATCCTTGTACGTTCGGACTATCCAGGGCGGTACGGAGCAAAACGTCATACGACCACCCTTCGGGGACGGCCGAACTAGTGAGTTCTGAACTTCTCCGGATACAACTTCGCATCAATTGTATAGCTTACTTTATTGCATTTGGAAAATAGTTTAAGGTCACAAGCAAAAGTAATTCTAATTTGTGTCAGACATTAACTGTAATTTGATATGTACTTATTCAGTTATGGCAGATATATCTACTGCCTACAATCTCTCTCTCAAATTGATGTTAACCTGATCCAACCCGGGTGGTCCATTAGAGAGTAGGGAATCCAGCGCAGCGGTGTTGACCTATTTAGCAAACAGTCAAAACCTCGAGCTCATCATGCCTATATAGTCGCCGGGTATTTACTCACATGTCTATGTCCGAGGTCACTCACGCGACTAACACCAAGAAGCCTCATAGCTGTGGCCGCCTCTTCGGCAAGAACTACGAGACCGAGTCAGTACAGAGTTCGTATAATTTAGTGACGTGAAATGAGATGACATACTCTGCAGAGATCGGTGGACACCCTTTTCCCCGCCGGCGGCTAGGCCATAAAGCGCAGCGCGACCAAGGCCGACACCTTTTGCACCCAGAGCAAGGGCTTTAACCACATCCGTGCCTCTTTTCACGCCTCCGTCTATCAAGACATCTAACTGAGTAAGAACTTGCGGACAGAACTCCCTGATCTCTAGTAGTACTTGAATGGGAGGGGGGGCTGTATCAAGGGCCCTTCCACCATGATTCGAAAGAATGATGCCTTTGACAATGGGGAACTTGGTAGCCGCAAAGGCATCCTCGTGAGTCTGAATGCCCTTGAGCACTATAGGCAGATCGGTATGCCCGCTTAGCCATCGGAGAGTCTTTTCCCAGGTGAGAGCAGATTCTGTACCCCAGATCTGTGGAGGCGATCCCCCCGCGACCTCCCTAGCCTTGTACCGCTCATCGGCCTCTCGTTTTCCGGGGAATGGGGCGTCGAGGGTGAGTACGATGAACTTGATGTGTGGAATTGTCCTGATATAAGCTAGCGTCCTTTCTGTAGCCTTGATATCTTTCAGGACGTAAAGCTGCCAGGCAAGAACTACACCTGGACCGGCGCGTACTATGTCTGCCACGGACATGGATGCATTCTTGCTGATGATCTGAAGAACGTTGAAACTGGAGCAAGCAGAAACGATGCCCACCTCGCCTTGAGGGTGTGCGAGTTTGGCCATGGCCGCCGGGCTGATAAAGATGGGTAAACCAACGCTGTTACCGATGAGAGAAGTCGAGAGGGAGCAGTGTGTGCAGTCAACAAAGACTTTGGGCCGGAGAATGATGGACTTGAAAATGTTCCCGTTGGCCACTTTCGTGATCTCATCATCAGTGCCGGATGCATAGTACGAGATAGCCTTGGGACTTAGACGTTTTAGTGCTATTTGCTCCATCTCAGCAATGCTCAATATCGATGCCATATCAGGAATCTTAACGTCAGAGATTTGCTCAGCATGCATATCATCGCTAGATATGGGCTCGAGTTTGCCCAAGAATTGCTCGGGGGTCAGATATTCGTCAAGAAGCTCAATCGGGTGAACATCTTGGTAGGCACGCGTGGCGTCTGTACCAGCATGTTGGAGAATGACAGCCCGTCCACCTGGATGTCTACCCAGAAATTCGGTGGTCTAGCATGAGAAGTATCAGCGAAATGGAACACCAGCAGGAAGTATGTATGCATTCAACGTGCATTGTAGACATTACCATGAATTGCCATCCAGCAACTATCCCCAGATCGATGGCATTGCACTAGTATTATCAGCTACGTGACCCTCAACATGTCTGTTACTTAGTTCACTTACGTTCTGATAATGCGATCATCTTTGTTGACGCAGTGAGTTCCATCTGGTGTAGTATTCGCAATCCCAAGTGGCGCTATCTCCATGCTCAATGCCCAACCCCCGCGATTCTTTTCTGTGTGGCCCCTGAGATGTACCACGTCGGTAATACCGAGTCCCGTGCTAGTGTTCTGAAGTGCGGGGATAAACTGTCGATTCCTTCCGCCGGCGTTACAAAATGCCGTGCTGATTTTGGTTAAGAAAGTCTACATCTCCACTGGAATAATATGACGCGGGAATTCTGAATGCCCGTATCAACATAGTACACACCAGAAGCAGATTTACTATCGTGATCTTATAGCCCGAGAACTGGATTCCTGCGGAGAATTACTCCACCACTACCATCATTTCCTTCTATTCAATTATAGCACGAGACCTATGGTGCGGAAAATACTGGTCTCTTGTTCCGAGCAACGGACACCCGCTTATCTGTAGCCCTGTAGGTTTACAGGTAGGTAATCTAATATATAGACGCTCACCCTCCAATTTTTCCCATGTACCTATCACATAGTCATTGCAAGAACTCTGCCGTATCGAGGCCAATCCCCCGCCATGGTACACAGAATCGACCTTGATCAAGGCTGGGAAGTCAAGCAGTCCAGTTCTCTAGAGAATGGTACAGCTACGTCCTACCTGCCTGTCGCCCAATTTCCTACAGTCGCGCACATCGATCTTCTCCATCACAAGCTCATACCGGATCCCTATATCGACATCAACGAGCTAAAATGCCTCTGGGTCAATGATGCAGACTGGACCTACCGCACTCAAATTATCAGACCTGTCAATCTCGCATCTACTGAGCGAGCAGTCTTGGTATTCGAAGGCCTCGACACCGTGGTCGACGTGTATCTCAATGATACCCATATCCTGTTCAGCAATAACATGCACATTTCGCATCGAGTCGATGTAACAGAGGCTATTCGGAACAAGAATAACACCTCAGTTCTTGAGCTCAGGTTTCAGAACGCCCCAGCGTATGCTCGCTCAGAGCGTGACCGAATAGGCTATAAGCGAAATCCTACTGGTCGCGCTGTCAACTACGGCGGCTCTGAGCGTCTCTTCTTGAGAAAAGCACAATACCACTGGGGCTGGGATTGGGGACCTGCCATCAATACCTGCGGACCCTGGAAACCCATATACCTAGAGACATATGAGTTGCGGGTTAGCGATCTTTGGGTTACCCAGGATGTCGCTGCTGATCTCTCGTCGGTGACAATCTTGGTGAAGGGAGAGGTTGAGAACGCACAGGAGATTGACAAGATACTCGTCCAATTGACTGATCCTGACACAAAAGCTACTGTGGTCAAGAAAGAATTTACATTATCCTCCACCGGTTCATTCGAAGGCAAGATCAGCTTAGACAAGCCAAAATTATGGTACCCATTCACATATGGAAAGCAAGACCTGTACCTTATCGAAGCTATTATCCCTGGGCACACCAGGAGCCAGAACCTCGGCGTTCGTCGCTTACGTCTCCTTCAACACCCTTTGAAATCTCAACCAGGAACCTCGTTTATCTTTGAGATCAATAATATCCGTATTTTCTGTGGCGGCTCCTGCTGGATCCCAGCTGACTTTATGCTCCCACGTGTCACAGCGGAACGATACGAGAAATGGTTAACCTTGGCCAAGAGTGGCAACCAATCCATGATTCGTGTCTGGGGTGGTGGTATAGTTGAGAGCGATACCTTCTTCGACATCTGCGACCGAGAGGGAATTCTTGTTTGGCAAGACTTTCTATTTGCGTGTGGAAACTACCCTGCGTCGCCCGATTTTGTTGCCAATGTCAGGGCCGAAGCAGAGCAGCAGGTCAAGCGCGTCGGGCATCACCCTTCACTTGCCGTCTGGTGTGGTAATAACGAGGACTACATGTGTGCAGATGAGGATCGATGCTGGGATATCGATTGGAGTGATACCACTGGTCCGTGGGATAAAACAACATTCCCGGCTCGTGAGATCTACGAGCGCACACTCCCTGCCATTATCACCGCCTCTGGTACCGAAGTGCCATACTGGATTAGCTCACCTTACGGTGGTGAGCATGCAAATGACACTACCGTAGGCGATACACATTGCTGGGATGTATGGCATGGAAAGATGTCGCCATACCAAGATTATAAAGCTTATACATCCCGTTTTATTTCTGAGTTTGGCTTTGAGTCAGCCCCTAGCTTAAGTACCTTGCACAGAGCTATCACATCTCCTAGTGAGCGTCATGCGCAGTCGCGAACTTTTGATGTTCACGATAAAGGTCCTGGCCACCAGAGACGCTATCCGATGTATATGGGAGAGAACTATCGTTTCCGGATGAACCCCCTTAAGGACTTTGTGTACTGCACCCAGTTTCTTCAGGCAGAGGCAATGGCCTATGCCTATAACTGCTGGCGCCGTGAGTTTAGGGGTCCCGGCGAGGAGAATTGCGCCGGCGTCTTAGTCTGGCAGCTCAACGACATCTGGCCCGGGGTAAGCTGGGCGTTAGTTGACGTGGATTTGAACCCTAAGCCCGCATTCTACATCACAAAGCGTGCCTTAGAAAAGACCGTGGTGGGCATGGAGCGTGTCATTACAGCGACAGCCCCTTACATCGTCACAGGCTACCTGCCTGAGAAGGCTAAGGTCGATATCTGGGCTGTAAACGGTGAGCATGACGACAGAACAGTGGTTCTAGAGTTGAGAGCGTTTGATATCCAGAGCGGCAAGGCTGTGGAGCTGTCGAATGTCCAGACCAAGCAGGAGTATACCCTCAAGGCAAATCAGACGACAGAGTTGCTGGCAGGAATAGATATTCCCGATTATAACGATACAGTTGTGGTTTCCTACTTGGATGACCCTGAATCGGGTGAGAGGCTGGCTCGATGGGTCAGCTGGCCTGAGCCTCTCAAGTATCTACGGATGTCTCCTGAACTGAAGGTCACTGCTAAGGTGGTAGATGA